AGAAAGAGGACACGTAAAAAAAAAAGTAGGTGTAATAGGAAGCTAATCAATTTGGTGCTTTGGATATACTATTTGTTATAAAGTTGGGGAAGCCAAAGAAGAAAATAATGGTATACTTGCCAATAAGAATTGACACAGCTGATCTTCTATTCACGTTAGTTATGATGTGGGTTTGATTCTTGTCTTTATCATATATAATTCCACTTTAAATTCTCAATGTAGTTGATAATGGATGGAATGAATGTGAGTGTTGTTGTTTTAGTGTAGTTTAGGGTCCACTTGATATAATAAATCAAGATGGAATATGGTTTAATTGGTGAAAAGGTCATTAGACCTATTTTATGTCAAATCTGTTAAGTAAGATACTGGTGATTAAGTTGATGCTTGAAAGACATCAATGTTGATTATTAGTAATGATTTTATAATTGGATTGTGAGTATAGTATGTTAAGTGAAGGCATAACCTAATGAGTTAAGATTAGGTTAATAAGTGGTGGTTGTGTTAAAAAAAAGAAAAAAAAAGAAAGAAAAGTTAAATATAATCTAAAGTAACTTGGAGTAGTTACAATTACACAACGAAGGGTGGTAAGGACTTTGTCAAGATTAAAGGAAAATATATATGTATATGATCATTGAAGATGTTTTTTTTAGGTTATGTGAGGTTCAATATTATGATGTTAGTTATGTGAAGTTAACAGAAATTTTATGTAATAAATATTTGTATGAGAATCAAGTTAATTGGTTAAGTATGGCAACGAAAGAATTGTATATATGTTTATATATTGAGTTCGGCCATGAAGGAAAGAATGGGCATAGATTGGGTGTTTTTAATTCAAGTGATTGATTTATAGCATTTTTCTAGAATAAGTAAGTATGATTCAAATGGTTTAAGATACGTGAAGCTTTGTTAAAAGTGTATGAAATGTTAACTATAAATTAGTAAATTAATTAACTAGTTGGGAGTCTAAGTTATGAAGTATAAGTTACGTTGTAAACTTATGGGATGGCATGAACTGTCAAGGGAAATAAAGTTGTCAAGTTGGTTATGAAATTAACATATGAAATATAATTATTCGGATTTCAAGTAATGTATATTTCATTGGGAATTAATGGTACTTTTATATGTACGGTAACAGAGTGAAATCGGACGAAGTAGGTGGACGAACAACTTGTAGACAACCAAGTTACGGTGTATTAAATAGCAAGTTAGCAGCAGGAAAGAGGTGACAGGTAAGCCACTACAAGAAAAGGGGAAAATCCTGACGGTCAATTTGAGGCGGTATAATACACACCGCCTCCAATTGTACTTCAGAGGCGGTTCTAGCAGCGTCTAAATTGATTCTAGGCGGTTCAATATAAGCCGCCTCCAAAATCATAATAAGGGCGGGTAAAATAACCGCCCTTTTAAGACATATCGCGTCGCTTACAACTAAATCGCCTCAGAATAGAACAATACGAGGCGGAGCTTCAGGCGCTTGTGTATTACGCCTCAAATTGGTGGTTATCTGAGGCGGATATAAAGAGGCGGTTATAATAACCACCTCCGAAGTATATTTCTAGGCGGTTTATAGTCATTTTTTTAATGTATTTAGTAACCGCCTCCATTGGTCATTTTTAGGCGGTTCGTAAGCTTTTTGATTATTTGCATTGTTATCATTATTATGTTAATACAAACAAATAGAGCATTTAGAGGAGGTTATACACAAATTTTGAGATTGTTTATATTTATTATTTAATTTTAAAATAAAAATATTTATTTTTAATGTTTAAACTGTTTTTTGAACACATAATGTTTAAACTTTAATTATATATCTATTTCTTATTTTTACCATTAATTTTGTACCATTTCGTATTAAAATAATTGATAATTGATACAAAATAATTATATCCTATTATAAAATCACAATTTTACTTATCTTGATAGTTAAGCATTGATAAAAAAAAGGGAACAGTGATCAATGTGTCACTTTTTACTGATTTTTTTATCCAAAGGCCACGCGAACAGTAAAAATTACCATACTGCCACGCCTTGAAGTTTGCTACCACTAGTAGCAAACTTGGTAGCCAATAATTTCTTGACACGTGGCACACTTTCGCATGAAAATGTGACTTCGACAAGTCCAAGTTCGCTACAACTAGTAGCAAACTTGGTAGCCAATGATTTCGTGACACGTGACACATTGTCGCAGAAAAAGTTGACTGAACGAAGTTCTTAACCAGGGGTAGCGAACTTCGTGTCCTACGTGGCACAAGCTCGTTGCCCTATTAGAATTAATGTACCAATCACAATAAAAAACGAAGAAAAATAACTGTTTAATTAATGTACTAATCACAATTAATGTATCAATCACCAATCACGAATTGTGTTGATTGTAATTGGTCAATGGTACATCAATTGTGATTGGTGATTGGTACAGTAATTGCGATTGATGATTGATACATTAATTATAATTAGGCAATGAGATTGTGCCACGTCAATATAAATTTATTATACTTATGCCTAATGTTAATATATAACATATTTAAATATGTATGTGTATAATGTGTAAAAAATTCAAAACATATGTATCAAAAAATAATAATAGTGAAAACATGGGACATAAGTATTCGAACCCATGTCCATGTGATAAATAAAGGCTCACATATTTTACCACTGAACCAAAACGGTTTAGTATGACAAATGGAGCACAACTTACTAATAAATTAAATGAATGATTAATAATTCCACTTTTGCAGGGGCGGTCCATTTTCCCTCCCGTGCACAATTGAACTAAGTTTTCACAATTGGCAAAGTTTATTTGAAGTAAATTAAATTAAATTAAATTAAGTTTTCACAATTGAACTAAGGTTTTTTATTCATTTGGCAAAGTTTTCACAATTGAGAGACGAAGTTTTTTATCCATCTCATACCTGCGTTTGCCCTAACCTCAGAGACCACAAGCTCTGAGCCCTAATCTCAAAGACCTCAGAGACCTTTCATGTTTGCCGTAACCCCATTGACGGTATGTTCTCATATTTTATCTTCTCTCGTATTACAAGTATTTTCCTTTTGAAGGTATGATTTGTTCTTGCGCATGTGGAAAGCTCTTCACTGCAAAATTATTCTAGTTTTTTCTCTCTGAAATCTCTAGTTTTGACGGTATGGTTTGATTTCTTTTTTTATGGATTTGGAGACCTAGACTTTTTTCCTTCAGCTTGTTCGTATGCTTTAGTTCATTTCCAACGCCAACTTTGTTTTTTTTTGGTTTTTTTTTTCTTCTTTTCAAGAGATGGTGTTGAAAGTAGAAGGCTTTGTAATCAACCTAGTTATTGTAGCATTTTAGGCTTCAAGGTTATCATCATCTGGTCATCACAAAACAGGCAGCCTCGGGTTCTGAAGAAGTACTAGTTATTATTTTAGTGTATACTAGTGGAAAAAAAATATGTTTCTCTTGTGAAATAGACTGTTTGCATTGAAGTTGGCAACTAAATGGCACAAGTGTTATTTTAATTTGCAAAGGCATTTATGAACGTGTATTTGGTTGCAGGTCTAATTCTTTGGAATCAGACTAGGAAACGTTGGGTTGGAAATAAAAAGATTGAGAACCAAACGCCACAATTACAAGAACCTAAATTGAGGTAAATTTCACTGTTGGATTAGTTTTATTGGCAGCTTTTTATTGCCCCCACTCACTTTGTGAAATGACTTAACTAATTAGTGAGATGTTAGTTATTTATTTTTGTTCTTCTAATTTTAGTTTTATACATATAAAAATTCAATCAAATTTAATTGGGTTCGAGTCTATTTGATTGAATCTGGGGTAGACAAGGTTGTTTCTTCGATGAACACACAGGGAAAGGTTCTTGTCAAACTGGGGATTGTGCTGGCCTTTTACAATGCAGGGGAATTGGAGGAGTCCCTCCTGCTACCCTTGTTGAAATGACCCTTGGAACCTCAAATTCACCATTGCATTTCTATGATGTTAGTTTGGTTGATGGGTTTAACCTTCCCTTGTCCATGAAGCCTTTGGGTGGTGGTGGTGTTATAGGTTGTGGTGTTGCAGCATGTGAGGGTAACTTGAATGTTGCAAGAGTTATGGGAAGGTGGTAGGTTGCAAGAGTGCTTGTTTGGCTACAAGATCGGATAGGTATTGCTGCACTGGGGACTATGCTGACCCTAAAAATTGCAAGCCAACAGTATTTGCTCGTCTTTTCAAGGCTATATGCCCTCAGGCTTATAGCTATGCTTATGATGATTCAACAGGACTTAAGACTTGTAATGCATCTCAGTATGTCATTACATTTTGCCCTCCACACTGATTTGTGTATAAAAACCTAAAAAGGGGTCTTGGTTAAATGATGTGGGAATGTGATTTCAGTTTCTTTTTGTTCTTCAGTCTGATTATTGTGATTGTCTTTTATTTTAGTCTTGGCAGTTTTCAATGTTAGTTATTCATAGTGCTATTGTCGTATGGGATTGTGATTATGTATGATGTTTAATTATATCCTTTATTAGATTGTTAATTGAGCCTCTTATTAGATATAGTCCTAATTACATCAGCTTTTTTTTAGTGTACTAGTTAATATAGCCATTATACTTATCCGACCCATTGCTTGTAAATAGAAAGTCATATTATGAATGTTAGTAAAAACACAGTGTTAGTTATCTTCTTATACTCTTAAGCATTTTTCCATGTGTTTTACGTGCATAAGTAAAACATCATTTGCCCTTCCCTTCTTGACATTCAGAGTCCCCAACACCAACTTCACCACTTACGTTTCTCCACCTGAACTACGCTGATCCATCACCAATGCTGGTGATCATCTACTCAGTTTTTTACACTTCATTGCCTCTGAAAACCCCATCCTAAAAAAATTTCCCATTGTCCTTTGAATTTCAGAGCTTATGCATCCAGTTTATTCATACTATTGTATTTCTGGCCTGGATTGATGCCTTCGACAATTCAACATTACACGTCAAAATTATTTTGACCAAATTGCTTCACATATTTATAGAGGAAGATGGATAAGTCTTGGATAAAAAAACCACAAAATTCAATCGAGTATGATGAAGGAGTAAGGAGATTTATTGATTTTGGCTTTCAACATAGTTCAATTGAAGGCAAAATACTATGCCCATGCTCACCATGTGGTTTTAGAAAGTGGCTGTCAAAAGAAGACGTGTATGATCATTTGTTGTGCAAGAAATTTCCCGAAGGGTACACCTTTTGGTTCTATCATGGAGAGTCCAAGGTTGCGTCAACTAGTAATGTTGCTGGTGAAGCTATGTCACATGGTGCACAAAACCAGAATGTTAATGTAGACCCAATATTTAACATGATCAATGATGCTTTTGGAGTAAATAGGCAACGTGACAATGAAGTTCAATTTCAACAAAACGAAAACATTGAACAGGAGGAGGGAATGACTCAGAATGCTGCAAATGAAGAATTTAGTGTAGATACAGAATTTTATGAACTAGCAAGAGATGGAGAACAACCATTGTATGAAGGGTGTCATAAATATTCAAAGCTTTCATTCATTGTGAAGTTGTATCATATTAAGTGCTTATGTCGTATGACTGACAAGTCCATGACTATGATATTAGAGCTACTGCAAGATGCATTTGAACATGCAAAGATTCCATCTTCGTTCTATGAGGCAAAGAAAACTATTACTAAGTTAGGATTGGACTACAAGAAGATACATGCTTGTCCAAAAAATTGTATGTTGTATTGGGGAGAGGAAAATGAAACTAGAGAAACTTGCAAGATTTGTCATGCATCTAGATGGAAACCACCCCCTAAAGAAGGTGACTGTACATCTTCTAAACAAAAAACAAAAAAGCGTAATGTGCCTGCAAAAGTAGTTCGGTACTTCCCCCTCAAACCACGTTTGCAGAGATTATTTTTATCAACAAAGACTGCTGAAGATATGAGATGGCATGCGATGCATGGTAATAATGATGGCTTGATGAGACATCCTAGAGACTCTGAAGCATGGAAGAAGTTTGATGATTTGCACACATCATTTGCGTCAGATCCACGAAATGTGCGACTCGGTCTAGCCACTGATGGTTTTAATCCTTTTGGCAATATGAGTGCCAGTTACAGTATTTGGCCAGTCATTTTGATTCCGTACAACACCCCTCCATGGTTGTGTATGAAATCGACGTCTTTTATCATTTCAACCATCATACCTGGTAAAAGAATGCCGGGTAATGACATTGATGTGTTTTTACAACCTTTGATCAAAGAGTTGAAAGAATTATGGCAAGATGGTGTAGATGCTTATGATGCCTTCACACGGGAGATGTTCAAATTACATGCAGCATTGATGTGGACGATTAGTGACTTTCCCGGCTTAGGAAATCTATCTGGCTGGAACACATACACTGGCCTAGCTTGCCCGTCATGCAACTTTGATTCTGAACCTTGTCGTCTTTATCATAGTAAAAAATGGTGTTTTATTGGTCATCGACGTTTTCTTCATGAAAGACACAGATTTAGGTTGAACAGGATTCGGTTTAATGGAAAGCAAGATCTGCGTAATCCTCCAAGGTTGTTGTCTGGTTGTGAAATACTTGAACAAGTTGAGAATATTAATGTCACATTCGGAAAAAGACCCGATATTAGTGGAAAAGGAAAAAGAAGACGAGTTGGTGGCCGTGATCTGCATGGCAACACCCAGCAATGGAAAAAGAAGAGCATATTTTTTGAACTTCCATATTGGAGGCATAATTTATTACGTCACAATCTTGACGTGATGCACATTGAGAAGAATGTTTGTGACAATATCATTTTCACATTGCTTAATGATTCCTCTAAGTCAAAAGATCATTTGAATGCTCGAAGAGATCTTCAAAGAATGGGCTGTAAGAATGACCTTTGGCCAGATGATAATGGAAAATATCCTTTAGCAATCTATACAATGACTAATCAAGGCAAGAAGATGTTCTTAACAACATTGAGAAATATCAATGTACCGGATGGTTATGCAAGCAACATATCTAGGTGCATTGATTGATCGTTCATCTTGCTCAGGAAGCCAACTATCGATGGATGTATCCCGAGAGTGGGACAATTGAAATCATATGTGCGTAATAGAGCTCGATGGAAGGGTCTATAGCACAAGGTTACGTAATGCGAGAGCTTCTCTCTAACATTTTGTTCGAGGTACTTAGATAATATTGAATCGATGGAATCGGCCCAGGCGGGTCGATGATGTATCTAATAATGTGCAAGCCAAATCACGTGTGGATGAATTATTTCCTCGAGTAGGAAAGCCAATTGGTGCATCATCATATTT